AACCGGTTGTTAGAAGAAATTACTGGCCTAATCCTGTAAGGAAGGCAGGAAGGAAACATTCTGGTGTTGCTTACAGAAACTGTCTCTCTGTTGACCCTTATTACATTCTTGGCAGGACTGGACTTCCTGTCTCAGGAACTTCTCTGGAGTGTTTTTCCCCTCCTATGCTGGTACTTTGCTTGTGTGGAGTGACCATTTAAAGTTACAATGGCACTGAAAAAAGTGACTTGACCATTTTTCACACTTACAACTGTTGCAGCATCCCCTCAGTCAAGAGAGGCCAGGCGAGGAGATGCGTGCCTCGATGTGAGTGATATTGAGTTGGCCACGCCCAGCCAATAACATGACCACCAAGCCATGCCCACCAACTAAGCCACGCTCACAGAACCGGTTGTTAAAAAATTTGAATCCCACCCCTGATGATGAGTAGTCTGTGGGATCAAATCATACATGGATGAAACCATGTATGGACTTGGAACTGGTCTCTAGAACTGATGGAATTTTATTTATTTGTTAAATTTATATGCTGCCTATTTCACCAATAGGATAAGTCTGGACAGCTTGTATAATGTAAAAAGATAATAGAAAACCAATTTAAAATTGTAGGCCTTTGCACATTAAAATTTTAAAACTATGCTGAAAACCAGAATCAGGAAGACGGATGGTCTTTTTACCCTGTCAACCACCTCCAGGGGTGAGCAACCTATTGTGGCCCTAAGCTAACTAGCAAAACCAAGTTTAATACCCTTCGGAAGGCAGAAGGTAGAGCCCAACCATGAAGCTAAGGTTCAAAGCCCTCTGTTAACAATCTATTGTTGTACTGAACTCACATAAAGTCCATAAGCAGCTTCTATTTTCTCATAAATCCAGTACGACCATTGTCTCTGGTCCATCCAGCATCAAATACCATTGATTAGTTCTTGATAATAAAAAGCTTCCAGTTTATCATCTTTGCTTTTCTTTAAAATTATGAACGGAATCTCTAAATAACTACTCCTCACTCTCAGAAAAAAGAAAGTTACCACTGAGAATATCTCCATAATACTTGTACAACAAATCTTCCACAGATTGGGATCCAATATATCTTTACAGCCATCCTTCAATTACATAAGATGTCTCCATTCTGCAAACTCCATCAGCTTTTTTGAGAAAGTCAGGTTCATTAATGCCCCCTTCAACCACCTGTAACAATTACATTACTACATTTTTCCTTTTTTCAACTTAGGTAGCAGCACAGAGCTCTTATGTCAACACATTCTGTCCCATGTCAGAGTTACTTTGATGTGTCCTACATAAATCTTTTAGGTTTTAATTCCATGTGGCCATCCCTCATTAAGTTATAAACTTTTAATACAGTATCCAAGACACATGATATGTGAATGATCCACACAACATGCTAACAATAATGAGTGAATAGCCCTAACTGTTCCAAAGAGTCTACTACTTTATATTCCACATGATTAGGTAATTACCTATTACTGGTGGATAATCTGATGTGGGTGGTAACTTGTCAATAAGCATCACAGAAAAAAATGAGACCTGCAAGATTATGGTCACTTTGTAGGCAATTTTTTCTGCAGGAGAGGCAAAAGCATAAGAAATAGCCATATCCAGCAAGAAGAGAATAAACATCGGCAGAATCACAATTAATTCATAAAGAATGGATCTCCTCTTCATAGAAATCTGTAAAAAAGAAAGGTAGTAAAGTAACACAACATTTCCGGGACTAGCACAAATTTCAGTTATACAAACTGCTAAATCATTCCAAGGCTAGGCTTAAGCTGATTGTCTACATCATGGTTGTCCAAACATTTAGATTGCCTGGGCCACATTGAGTGAAGAAGAATTGTTTTGGGCTGCATATACAGTAAAATATCTAACATAGTCAATGTGTATAAATAACAGACTGTAATGTTAAAACGTGTATGATCTTCTGAGGCCATATTACTAGCTGTCCAAAGCTGCATGGCCCGTAGGGCGTGAGTTGGATTTGCCTGGTCTAAACCAGTCTAGGTTCAAGCAAGGATGTCAAGAAAGAAATTAAAAAGGTCAAGACGACAGCTGTAACTGTACAAGAGAACCCTGTTATGCACCTCAACGGTTTTTGATTACATGCCAGAGTCGTCATTGTGACTTTATTTGCTGCTATCTCCTCCTTCGTTCATCACAGATGCTTCTGGGCCCATTGTTCTATCTCGGAGAGTGGGCGTAATAACGGAGACGAGACATCGAATAGTGACTCCAACTCTTTATTTGTGACTTCAGGAAACAGAGGAAAAAGAATAGCAACAGCAGCTCCTTTTATAGAGCTAGCTGCTGTCAAAGCATCCAATGGTAATGGTAAGTTTGCCGCGCTTGGAGCGTCCAATCGCGGCAGCCCGTTAACTAGCCAGTCAGATCAGTCCAGAATGACCAATCACGACTCGCTGTCAACGGACCAATCAAATGTGCAGGATTATGAGCCTGCTTGTGGAATGGCCAGTCAGGTTTTCAGGCTTACGAGCCTGCTAGTTCGGAACACCCCTCCCCTCTAGGTTCCGTCTCAGGGGTGGGGTGATGTATTCGCACAGGTAGGCAGGTCTTCGCACCTGTCTACCTGATTTGCGTTGTTCAACCTGCCTTAGCTTGGATTCTGGTTCTGGTGGGTTGTTTAACGGCGACCTGGCTTCTATGCTGGGCATCCTTGGAGGTGACTCGGGGATGCCTTCAACGTTACCCTCGTCCCTGTCGTCTGGGTCCTCCGAACCTGCTGACCCCGCTCGGCTGCTGCTGCCCGGGGAAGTGATCATCTGCCACGGGTCCTCTTCATCAGGTGAGTATGCTGGGCTTGGTTGTGCGAACTGCGGGCTTGCGTGTCTTGGAGCAGGTATTATTTCGTTTTCAAAATCCTCGGTTTCCCTTCCCCCTCTGGATTCGATTTCAGAGTTCGTGGAGGGGGTAGTTATCAGCCTTGAACGCAGCTGGTCGATGTGGCGTTTCCACAATCTTCCATCTGTGGTTTCTAATCGGTAGGAACGGTGGCCCGTAATTTGTGTTATCTTGGCAGGGACCCACAATGGGTCACCTGTAAAATTCTTAGCGAATACGAGGTCTCCTACCTTGAATGTACGATGTTTGCTGCTGGAACCCAGGGGCTTTTCTGGGGTGTAGGCAGGGTGTAGGCGGTCCAGGTGTGATCTAAGTTTTCTGCCCATCAGAAGTTCGGCTGGGCTTTTGTTTGTGGTGCTGTTCGGTGTAATATGTTGGAGAAGGAGCATTCTGGTGACTCTGTCGTGAACGTTTCCTTGGTCCATTTTGTGTAGGGTTGTTCTAGTAAACTGAACCATTCGTTCAGCCCTGCCATTGGCCGCCGGGTGAGCAGGTGATGTCAAGGCGTGACGTATCCCCCGGTCTGCTAGGTATTGTTCAAACGCCAAGGCGGTAAACTGCGGGCCGTTGTCAGAGACCAGGACATCTGGAAATCCGTGTGTTGCAAACAGTCTGTTTAGTTTTTTGATGACTGCTTCTGTGGTGGTGGTCTTCATCTTGTTCACCTCGAGCCAGTTCGAGTAGGCGTCTACTGTTATTAGAAAAGTATGTCCTTTTGTAGGTCCCGCAAAATCGATGTGGATGCGGGACCACGGACCCCTGGGCGTTTCCCATTCCGTTGGGGGTGCTTTTGGTGGAGCTGTTCGTGTTTCTTGGCATTTGCTACAGGTGGCAACCCAGGCTTCGATTTGTCTGTCCATACTTGGCCACCATGCGTAGCTCCTTGCCAGTACGATGCCCGGGTGTCCATTGTGCAGCACTTTCAGGACTCTGCGTTGAAGTTTTTCTGGAATGGCTACTCGGTCTCCCCATAACACGCACCCCTTTTGGGAGAAAAGTTCTGTCTGTCTGTTTTTGAAGGGTTTGAACTTGTCGTTGGGTTCGATTTCTGGCCATCCCCTCTCCACCCAGCTGAGGACTCGCGCCAGACAAGGGTCTTTTTTTGTTTCTAACGCGATATCCTGAGCAGTTAGTGGAGGTGAGGGAAGCATCTCTATTTGTAGCGTGGAAAGTGTAGGAGCTGGGTCGTCTAGGAACTCTGGCAATGGCGAACGGCTTAAGGCGTCAGCATGGGGAATGGCTTTCCCCGGTCGATGTCTTAATTGGTAATCGTACGCGGCTAAGAACTCCGACCATCGTGTCATTCTTGGTGATAGGATGTGGGGAGTTGGTTTATCCCCTGCTAAAATGCCAAGCAATGGCTTGTGGTCTGTGATTATGGAAAAGGATCGTCCATATACGTATTCGTGGAACCTTTTAATTGCGGATACAATAGCAAGGGCTTCTTTATCTAATTGACTATAGTTCCTTTCAGTTTTAGACAAAGTTCTTGAAAAGAATGCGATAGGCGCCTCCATACCGTTTGGTAGAATGTGGCTCAGGATGGCTCCTACTCCAAAAGGTGAAGCGTCACAAGTCACAGTCAAGGGTAGTGTCTCGTTATATTGGATTAACACTGCATCAGATGTGAGAAGGTCTTTGACTTGTTGGAAAGCTTGCTCCTCTCGACGTCCCCAAAACCAGGAAGCCTTCTTGTCGAGGAGCCTATGCAGGGGTTCAGCAACAGTCGCCTTCTGGGGTAGGAAGATGTTATAAAAGTTAATGAGGCCCAGGAAGGCTTGGAGGTCTGTCTTGTTTCTGGGTCTTGGAGCATTTTTAATAGCTGCTAATTTCTTTTCGGTAGGGTGAATACCTTGCTTGTCAAGAAGGTAACCAAGAAATTCAACCCTCTCAGTGCATAATTGGCACTTGTCCTTCTTGACTTTGAGTCCTGCGTCCTGGAACTTTTGTAGGACGGTTCTTAGGCGTTTTTCTAATTGACTTCGTGTAGGGGCGGCTATCAATACATCATCGAAATAGGGTACAACTCCTTTTATGCCCTGTAGCAACCTTTCCATCAAACTTTGAAAAATGCCAGGTGCTACGCTTACTCCGAACTGGAGTCTATTACATTTGAATGCACCCCTGTGCGTGACTATAGTCTGGGCTTCAGCGGTCTTTGCGTCTACTGGCAGCTGCTGATACGCTTGGGCCAGGTCAAACTTAGCAAATACTTTTCCGCCCCCGAGCGAGTGAAGAAGGTGTTGGACCACGGGTACTGGATAGGCGCTCTGTTGAAGCGCGTGATTCAGGATGGCCTTGTAATCCCCACAAATTCTCAGGGATCCGTCAGGTTTTATGGGGGTTACTATTGGGGTCTCCCACCGGGCATGGTCGATGGGTTCTAACACGCCCTGTGCTATTAATTTGTCCAATTGTTCATCAATTTTCGGTTTGAGGGCAAAGGGAACTCGGCGTGGCTTTAGACGGATGGGTGCGATATCAGGGCAGAGATTAAACGAAATGGGGGACCTCTTGTACTTGCCTAATTGCTCGGTGAAAACGTCTTGGAAATCCCGGATGAGGGCCGCCTCCCAGTCTTCGCTTACAGTCTGGTTGATGCCTGCCAATTCGATTCCTAATGGCGCGAATCACTGTAATCCCAATAAACTGGGTCGGTCTCTGTCAACGACGGTGAGAGGTAGAGTTGCGGTGTGGTCTTTAAACGAGACCTGGACGTGACTGGAACCAGCAACCGGGATTCGATTGCCTTGGTAGTCCTTTAATATGAGTCTCTGGGTGCGGAGATCCTGGCGGCGGATGTCAGGAATCAGTTGCTTGAGAGTTTTCCAGGAGACCATTGATAGGGACGACCCGGAGTCGACTTCCATGATGCACGGTCTGTCTTCGATGGTGACCTTTACCCGGATTTTTTTTGCATCCACTGATGAGGCGTGGCCGATGATGACGGTCTGATGTGCCTCCTCTCGTCTGGTAGTGGTAGCAAGCATTCGGTTTCTGTTGTATGGGCTCCACTGGGTGTTTGGGCGGTCCCAATTTGATGGGTGGTTGCCCGCTGTCTGCCGGAAGGTATTTTCGTTCCTCTTGGGGCTGGATACTCGTTTACTTCTGCAGACCTTGGCGATGTGGCCCCTTTTATCACAGGTACGACAGATGGCGTCTAGGAACCTGCAATCTGCTCGTGGGTGGTTTCCCCCGTATCCGGCGCACTGGAAGTTGGGTTTACGACTTCGCTGGTCTCGCTGGTCGCGCTCTGATCTGAGTCTATTGACTTCTTCCTCTTCTCCTTCTGATGAGGACTCGATGTCTTCGTGGTGGGCTGTTGTTGTGTGTCTCTCTGTGGGTGTTGTGATGTCGCTGGAGAGTTGGCGGCTGGATCCATTCGCTCGGCGCATTCGAGCCGCTGACTTCCTGGTTGCTTCTGCTGCAGTAGCATCCGCTATGGCATCTGCGAGGGCGATATCCCCTTTTGCCATAATCTTGCTTTGGATGGTGAGGTCTCTTAGCCCCAGGACAATCCAATCTCTCATGGCTTCTTCCAGATTCGCGAAGCCACATAGTCCACCCAAATTTCTTAGGTCAGCTACAAAGTCCCCGATGCTCTCGCTTTCCCGTTGGTCCCTCTGGTAAAACTCGTGTCTTCTGATGAAGGTTGGAACCGCTGGGGCGTAATGAGCCCTGAGAATGGGAGCGAGGGTGTCCCAATCCATAGTTTTGACTTCAGCCGGTTTCGCTAGCGCCTTTGCCATTTTGAAAACGGCGGGTCCGCAATGCGTTAGGAACACCGCACGTTTTTTTCCAGGCGTAGCATCCTTCAGATTATTGGTTTCCAGGAACATTTGGAACCTGTCCATATACGAGTCCCAACCTTCGTTAGCTGGATCAAACGGAGCGGGTGGTATTGTGCTGCTGGTCATTCTGCCGTTTTCTGCGCGTTGTCAGCCACGTGCTCTGCCAATACTTCGTGAGTGTTTCAGTCAGCTCTTATCGTCTCCGCATCCCACCTTCGTCGCCAGTGTTCTATCTCGGAGAGTGGGCGTAATAACGGAGACGAGACATCGAATAGTGACTCCAACTCTTTATTTGTGACTTCAGGAAACAGAGCAAAAAGAATAGCAACAGCAGCTCCTTTTATAGAGCTGGCTTCTGTCAAAGCGTCCAATGGTTTAAGTTTGCCGCGCTTGGAGCATCCAATCGCGGCAGCCCGTTAACTAGCCAATCAGATCAGTCCAGAATGACCAATCACGACTCGCTGTCAACGGACCAATCAAATGTGCAGGATTACGAGCCTGCTTGTGGAACGGCCAGTCAGGTTTGCAGGCTTACGAGCCTGCTAGTTCGGAACACCCATGATTTTGGTTTTTTGACAGTGTCTTAGCTTCAACCCTCAACCAGTGAAGTGGTATACCTCAGCAATTATTCCACTGCTGAATAAACCTAGATAGTGAAGTGGAGTTAAATCATAACAACTAATATTCCAGATGTAAAAGAGATCAGCTGGAGTGGCTGTTACCCAGAATCAGTCTTGCCACTGTTCTGAAGTTTTATTTTAGAAGAAGAATTGTTGAAGATAAAAATGGCTCAGGGACTGGATGGGAGTAGGAAATCAGCCTTTTTCTATGATTTGCATTCTGATTCCAACACAAACTGTACCCAAATGCAACTTAAACAAAAACAATAGGAGAGTGATTAACCTCAGGCAAACAGCCATTCAACTTTCATGGTAGGTGCGGTTTCAGTTGGGGAAAACAATAGAAGACCACTTTTTTCAGTTAGCCAGTGGGCAGTCCATGGATAAGTAAGTTACGGTACATGAGAAAGTCTAATGTTAATCTTGTTTTTAGCAACTTAAAAATGGATGAGATCACAATCTTTCCCTTTCCAGAAATATTTAATATTCTCATACTCTGGGAAATGCCAACAACAGGGACCTCAATTAATGCAAACTGCAGTTAGAGAGATTCTGAAATTGATCACTAATGCTAGGGCCATTTCTTGCTCAAATTTCTGATTGAAAAAATTGTGAGCTTTTTCTCTTGGAACAGTTTGTCAGGCAAAGATCCAGCAAGCATTTTATCTTGTTGACAGAGAGAAAAAAAAGGATCTCTAAGATTTTAGAAAGATCCATTAGGGGAAAGAAAGCTTTGGAGGCTCAGCAAGATGAAAACAGGATAAAAGAGGGAATTATGGTTTTATTGAAAACAAAATATTTTCAGAACTTAGGCAGAATCTAATGGTTTGGTTCTGCCTCTCCGATTTGCGGCAAAATATCCGCTATGGTCTGCAATAAGGCTTTTTTTGTACATGAAGCGACATAGGGATTACCTTTTCCAAAGCACAGTGAAGAAGAGTGCAGTGCAGTATCTGCTGTGAAAATGAAGCAGTAACCTCATAAATGCAGTTAGAGGAAGACTGGATAGAAAGGCAGCACTGTATTTGTTGTCTTTAGTTCTTGGTTTCAGATCCTGTCTTTAAATTAAGAACTCGAGGCAGTATAAAAAATGCTTCATCATCCTATTTTTCTGTGCATATTTTTTTTATTTCTTTATATATTTAATATACCTCCTTTACTGTTTTATATACAATTAAAGACAATGAATAGGACTACTTAAAAAGTCCACAAAGATCAATACTTTCTTAGAAAGTATTACTTCACAGAAAGAGCAGTGGAACTTGAAACGAACTTCCAGTGGAAGTAAGGGGTCAATCATCATTAAGTGAGCTTAAATAAGTTTGGAATAAGCACATGCTCATCATACGACAAAAAATAAAAATAAATAATCATTAAAAAAATAAATGTACAATAATAATGAAAAATAAAAAAATAAATCAATACATTAAAAAGAAAACAAAAACAAACTCAAGGGGCAGATTTGATGAACCACTAGGTCTTTTTCTGCTGTCAGTTTTCTATGTTTCTCAGAAACCTAATTAGTACTCCTGTGACATTGGCTGGGCAGAGAAAGAGAGAATGAACCAAAGTCACCCAGTGAACACTGGATTTCAGAAAAGGAAGCTGCTAGAACTTGCAAACACAGTGCGATGGATTGTAGAATTTAATGTATTATTCCAACATGGGAAAAGTAGGTACTGTAGATACACGCAGCCAGTTTGGCCTAGTGGTTTGGCCTAGTAGCAGGTTAGAAAGCAGGAGACTATGAGTTCTAGCCCCACTTTAGGCAAGAAAGCCAGCTGGATAGTTCTCTTGGGCCCAGCTCATGGCCTGAAGTTATTCATTCTTGCCTAATGTGGGACCAGAACTCATAGGCCCAACAAAGTTGTTGTTTGGTGGAAATAGGAAGCAGAAGGAGTATTAGAATTTATTAAAAATAAAATTTATATGCCATCCATGTCACCAGAGATGTTCAAATAAATAGCCAGGCTCAAGCCCTCCCCACATTCCCTTGGCCATCTCTTTCCCATCTCCCAAGCTTGCTCCCACATATCATCACATCATCTGACAAGAAAATGTATAGTAAATGCATTCATAACTATACCTGATAGATGACTGTACTGTATTTTCCGTCGGCATAAATTTCGGTCACCTCCATGATCTCCACTTTCTGAAACTTCCATTCTCCATCGGCTAAATAATGTTTGCGACTGTCTTGGTTTGTGTTTTTGAAAGTTTTAGTGTTTTTCAACTTCACTTCATTTTCTAGAAAGAATATAAGTCCCATGATCCAGAGGACTGCCAATTCAGGACAGTCTGAAGAAAGGCAGTCCTATACTGAATATATAGAAGGTTCATCTCCTTCCAGCTAATCCTTGACTTATAACCATTCATTTAACAACTATTCAAAGTTACAAGGGCACTGAAAAAAGTGACTTACAGCTGGTCCCTCACACTACCATTGCAGCAACCTCACAGTCACATGATCAAAATTCAGGTGCTTGGCAACAAACATGTATTTGTGACAGTTGCAGTGTCCCAGGGTTCTGTGATCACCATTTGCAACCTTCCCAGCTGGCTTCTGACATCAAAGTCAATGGGGATTTGCTTAACAACTGTGTGATTCATTTAACAACTGCAGTGATTCATTTAACAACCAAGATTATAAAACTGGGCATGACTCATGTAACAGCCACCTTGTTTAGCAACAGAAATTCTGGTCTCAATTGTGGGTTGTAATTTGAGGACTATCTGTATTGGGATAGCATTTCCCAAGTGTCTGACAATTACATCTGTGATGACCCAGGGTAGTGTGGAAAGGAAACTTCATGAGGACAGTGGTGTCACCCAAGCAGGAAAAGCCCAAAGGGAACATCAAGCCAGCCATAAAACAAACTTGCATAGGAAAAGGAATCAAATAAAAGGTATTAAAGAAGCCCCTTAGACAAAAGTCCAAATAATTAAGAAAACTAGGGAAACAAGAAAAGAAAACCCTTCCAAATCAGCAAAACAAACAAAAGACACAAAATATATTGCAAAGGAGACAGACAGGAGATTGCCACAAAACAAATATAAGAAAACTTTAGGACAAAACTGATAATCCAATCAAACCACCCCGCGGAGTTTACCCTCCGGTGGAAATGAAGACAACCCCTGACAGGATTTAAAACATTAAGAAATACAAACACAAGCACTCACACACAAAAGGAGAAAAAAAGTATAAAAATCAGGGGCTTATTATACAAAGCTAGCTAGCCCCAGGAACACAGACTTCTTGCTATCTCTTGCCTTCCTGAAAAATAAAAAAGATCCAGCTTTCAAGCAGTTGTCTGTATTCTTGCACCGGAGCTCTCCCAGCAGGAAAATTGAATCCTCAGAAGAAAGGCATTTTCCAGCCTTTCAACAGTAGGATACAAAACAAATACAGTCACAGAAAACAGGTGAAGCCCCTTTTATTCCTTCACTTTGCTTCCAAGCTCCGAATATCTTTAACAGAAGACAAAAAAACTTCCACACAGTTACAAGAAGAAGGAAAAAAACAACACAAACCAGGCAAGATAAGGGCTGGAGGATGTCCACAGATAACACACACTGGGAAGGACACCAAACTCAGAGAGGAACTATAAACTAGAGATATTTCCACGCTTTGTTTCCAACGTTCGTCAGTACGCAGATCCATACTCTTATTCAGTTGTCACAGCTGCAGCCCATGAAGAGGATCAAGGCCCTCTCCTCCCGAGTAGACCACATCTCTCCCTTATCCTCTCCTCCCTGCATGCCCTAGGATGGATAGGGGATGGGCCTGGGTCCTCTGACTGCTCAGCTGGCCTCAGCCCTTCCCCAGGCTCCTCCACAACCTCCAGAGCCACACTTCCACTCCCTATTAGTTGTTCCTCCTCTTCCTCAGAGTCAGTCTCCACCAGGGGCATGACAACATCTGAGAAGCAGCCAGTTTGGGAAGTCTGATATAAAATATATACATAAAACAGAATAAAAAATTTATGATTCCAGTAAGATGTTATATTCTGTACTATGGGCTGAAATCTTCCCTTTAGTGATTAGTGACTCACAAATTTCAACTGAATGGTTGGAGGGCTAATATAAGATCAAAACAAGTATAAAATCAAGAAAAATAAAACAAAACATAAATTAAAGTTAACCTACATCTGTCAGCCCTGGAACAACACCACTCAGTACCCCAAACCCTTACAAATGGGCTCATCCACCACCTGGCCCAAAACCTTAGAAAAACCATCAGAATCTGGGTGGGTGGGGTAATAAGAAGCAGCTGATACAAAGGACAGGAACTGTGCTAGAGAAAGCACACTTCCCGTCTTTTAATAGATGATAGCAATAGCTCTTAGACTTATGTACCGCTTTATAGTGTTTTACAGCCCTCTCTAAGCGGTTTACAGAGTCAGCATATTGCCCCCAACAATCTGGGTCCTCATTTTACCCACCTCGGAAGGATGGAAGGCTGAGTCAACCTTGAGCCTGGTGGGATTTGAATTGCCAAATTGCAGGCAGCCGACAGTCAGCAGAAGTAGCCTGCATTACTGCACTCTAACCACTGCGCCACTGAGGCTCAATGATGTGGAGAAAGAGCAAAAAAGTGAGTTCTGTATTGTTAACAAAAGAAGAAAATATAAAGTAGATGCATTACAGACTGCAGAAATGGCAGGCAGAAGTGCAGAAGCCACAGACATGGAGAATGTGTGCATGAGTATAGCTTCAGAAGCCTGTATAGAAAGGAAGGGCAAGCAAAATTCATGATAAGGCATAATTGCACAGTGCTCCACTAAGATACCTTTATGTAATGATGGCACCATAGTTATGCTGCACTTTTGCTCATCAAAAGGAAATGCGTGGACATCCAGGTTGCAGGCGGAAGTGAGTTGATGTGCTTGAAATAAAACAATGGAGCCATCAAAGGATAGGTAAATAAAATGGCTAACTGTGTGCTTATCTTCATCCGCCCTGAAAGGAAAATATTGTAATTAACAAAAGTTTGTGTTTTGCACATATTAGACACTATTATTGCTGTCAAATATGTGCAAAATATATATAAGGAAATATCTTTAATGGCATAAAAATCAAATTATTGTATAAAAAAATTATTGTATAAAAAAATTGGTATAACCACCAACTAACCAGCCATAAAATCCAAATGACACAAAGACAGAATTTCAGTTTTCCCAGGCTGATGCTAGAAATGGTTTGGTTTTGATCATAATTAAGGCTATAATGTAATATTATAATACCTATAATACTGAATTGGTGTCAGACCCATTAATCAAAATAGAACTTACTTCTGTTCAATATTCTTGCCCCATAAACTAGTAAAAACAAGAATCACAATTAATCTGTTTTCTACAGCTGTTTTGCAATAATCTATATGTAATCAGATTTGTAATAAACCCTGTTTTAAAGAATGTTAAATTGTATCAGTTGGGTGCAAAAGTTATTGGATCCTTCTGAAATATTGGCAATTGGTACCACAATTGCCTTCTTTTCTTTATGGTATTCCTAATATATAGATGTGGGAATGAATCAAAACTTTGAGTCAATGTGTATAGATGTAGCAGTCAATATTGTTAATACTGTAATACTGTATTAGTGCAATTTTTTTCTCTAAGAATGAAGTTTTAAAACATATTTAAAAGGTAAGAAAAATAGAAAAGATACTGTTCATCTATGAAAATGTGAGGAGTCCAAAAAAGGTTCACAGGAAGACTGATACTGGTAATGTTACAAAAGTCCAAAGGGTCCCAGCTGATAAATTCATTTTTCCAAATCTAGTAAAGAACAAAGGAATAATTCAAAAAGTGTTACATTATCTTTAAAAAAAAACACTGATCTATTCTAGAAAACACAAATACTTTTTTGTAGAAGAGCAAAATGAGTACCCTTACCACATTTAGCCAGAAGTAGAATTTGGCCACTTGTAATTTTTCCTCCTGCAAAGGAGAAAAAGAAAAAAATGAACAGCCTTTCTCCCAGACTTCAGAAATCAGTCACAATCCAGTCTAGTCCAGAGGTCTCCAACCTTGGCAACTTTAAGCCTGGAGGACTTCAACTCCCAGAAAAACTGGCTGGGGAATTCTGGGAGTTGTTGAAATCCTACAGGCTTAAAGTTGCCAAGGTTGGAGACCCCTGATCTAGTCAGCCATAGGCCAAATTGCACCAATGGAAATATTTTCTCAGTAAGTGACTTTCTCTGACCTCAGGGAATGCCTTCAAGACTGTTATGGGGTGCCCTGATGGATCTGTCAGTAGTGTGTGATTATGTATATCTGTGTGCACAAATCAAGTTCATTTGTGCAAGGGAATGGAGTGGAAAAAATGATTTACATACACTTATACATATAACCACACACAACTACTGACCCAAAGGTGCTTTTTTCTCTCTCTCTCCCAAGGGGCAACTGGACTTTCTAGTTTTTCTTCATTTTAAAGACATTTTGCTTCTCATCCAAGAATCTTCTTCAGCTCTGACCAATGGGGAATGGAAGGATTTATACTTCTTCCAGACATCTGGTCATTTGCATCCTTTTAGCAGGTCATTAAGGTCACCTGGAGGTTTATCTGTGTCATCAGGGTCACCTGAGTGGTGCAAATTGGTGTAGAACCTTCTTGGAACTTTGAAAGGACTGTGTTGTAGATTGGAGATCTTATATTTTGTGGGGCACCAAAAAAGGCACCAGGTCTTATTTTTTGGGAGGTCTTATTTTTTTCCTCCCCATTACCGGGAGGCAGGCGGGAGAGCTGCACCTCACGCATCAAATCTCTTTGCCTAACGGCCTTACCAGCAGCTTGGTCTGCAAAACAGCTGATCTGCAGGTATGCTTCTGTCACCAGCTCCAAGAATTTCAGCCCAGTGGTGGGATTCAATTTTTTTTTTACTACTGGTTCTGTGGGTATGGCTTGGTGGGCTTGGCTTGGTTTGGTGGGTGTGGCTTGGTGGGCATGGCAGGAAAGAATACTACAAAATCCCATGCCCGCCCCACCCCAGTAACCTGCTTTCCAGCTCCATTCTCCTGTGCAGGGCAACAAAAGAAGACCCAGCCAATCAGCTGGGACTCGGGAGGCAGAGAATAGATGGGGGCGGGGCCAGTCAGAGGTGGTAATTTGCTGGTTCTCCGAACTACTCAAAATTCCCACTACCGGTTCTCTAGGACCTGTCAGAGCTGGCTGAATATCACCTCTGGTTCAGCCGCTTTTGTAGCCGATGGAGACTGCAGAAGCAGCAGGAGCCCCCGCATGCCTCTGTGGAACAGCTGATCTGTG